CATTTAGGAACTAGAGGAGAGTTGTATTTCTCATCACCTCCAACTCTTCCTTGAGCGCTGAGCATGCTGCCTGGTTAGCATTTCACCAGGGGCTCTGCTGGGCACACAGACCATCAAACCAAACCCATTGGTGGGAGTCCATTGCCCCACGTGGTGAGCCCAGACGGTCCAGGGAAGAACCGTGCTGTTGCTTTCCCAGTGGCTGCAACCAAAGGCAGGGGGTGACCAGGACTTTCTCCTGGGTGCCCCTGAACCACCAACACTGTGGTTAGTAGCCAAGCGCACACCGTCTGCGCCACGCAGGCTCACAGAGGGTACTTCTACGTGTTTGGTGAACTGACTCAATCCCCCGGCGGTGTCTCCAAGTTGGTTTCTTTTCACCACGTTTTGCTGCCCAAGAAGGAAAAGCCTTTGGCAGAAGGTGAGCTTTAGTTGTGTGGAGATGAGGAGGGGGAGAGCCATTTCCCAGGCTGCAGTAGGAAAGGTGGGACGGGCGGGACACTCAGGAGGGCAGGCCAGAGAGGGAGGTGGGGTTGGACACCACTGGGCCAAGCCAGAGCCCCCTGCTGTGGCTGCCAGGAGGTGGGGAGGCGGGAAGAGCAGCCTGCTTAGAGGGCTCTATGATTAAGAAATCTGGAGCTGGAGTTCCACAGGGAGGAGGGGAGGAGCAGGGACGGACCCAGGGCAGGGTGGGGCAGTAATGACGGAAACGACAGGGCTCCAGAGGCAGCCAAGCTGGGTGGGTGAGTGCTTGGTAGCTAGAGCAGATGCCCTGGGTTCAAATCCTGCCCTTTACTAGCTGGGTCCCCTTGGGGCTGCACCCTAATCTCACTGCATCTGAATAGGAAGCTGATACTAAACCATAGCAATCACACAGTGCCTACCTCACCAAGCAACCGTGAGCATTCAGGGAGACAGACAAGCCAGGGGAAGACTCGAGGACACCATCGGGGCTGCCCACTCAGCTCCACAGCCCCTGGCACTGCCGGACGACCTCCTGCTAGTGGACAAAGCTTCAAAGGCCCCGCGGGGGTTGCCGGAGGAGCTACGTTCCAGCACCCAGTCCAGGGCGGTGCCGTTGTTGGAAGATCAATCAGCTAACAAGCGTTCGCACCAAGTTGCTGGAGCATTGAGTCTGACTCAGGGTGACACGTTGGCTTGTTTTTGCCCGGTGTTATTCTGGCAGAAGGCTACCCAGCCAAAGATGCACTATGACCTTTGGGAAACAGATCAGCAGGCATTTTTCCCAAGGCACCTCTGGGTCTGTGCTACCCCTCAGATGAACCAGAGGTGCTCCTTGGCGCCTCTGACCGCCGGGGAGAGCTCTCTGGGCACCAGTGGGGCAACAAGGTTGGAAAGATGGCACCTTGGTAGCTCCTCACTCCCCCCTGGGTCTCCCCGCCCCCAGCCACTAATCCACCCTGGTCCGTACACAGCTGCCTTCTCCACATATTTCAGATAAATGGGATAAATAAGTGTCTTCCAGGCTCAGGGATGTCGGGGCCTCCTGGGAACTTCACGCGGCGTCATGGAGGAGGAATACGGCTAGAGCCCATGTTCTCCTTCTGTTCGTCCATTGAGGCACACTGGGGTGCACCCACGTTCAGGGTATTGTGAAGAATGCTGAAACAGACCTCGGTGCACCCTTTCTGCCAGAGTCCGACC